CAGGACTCTGTGCTAGTTAGTACAAAATAAGACCGAAAATAACATGGCCAGACTCTAGTTTATATATGGACTTAACATAAAATCCTTTACTGAAGAAGTAAAGATAAATAATTGGATAAATTTAAATGTGTGGGGAAAAGCACCATATGCCGAAATAAATGTTCACAGAGGAATACAGGTGTACGTGTAAAAACTAAGCCGTTACAAATACATTTCCTTGTCAGTGGGTAGTATGGTTCAGTGAAGAGTTAACTAGCAAATGATACTAGTACTTAATCCATAATAAAGCCCTTAAAAATTCTGTCTGGAAAAATACTTAACTTCCTAATAGAAAAATAGGCAAAGGATTCAGACAGCTCATTGAAGAAAACACCAGGCCAAAAAGCTTCTGGGGGGAAAAAAAGCTGAATACCAATCTAAAGGGTAGTCAAAGAAATACAAAGGAAACCTAAAATGAACTTTTTAGCTTATCAAATTGGCAAAGATTTGCAACAAATTCATGCTAACATGGTGAAAACCTTTCTGGAGGTAAAATAACCTGAAGTGTTCATATTTTAACCCAGTCATTTCACTTTAGGAATTTCTCCTAAAGAAATATTTGCCAAAGATGTCTGTATGTGCAGTGGTACACTCGGCAGCATCATTCGGGAACAGCTCTAGTGTCATCAATATGAAATTACCTTTTTAATTCGCAGCTATCAGCATGTTAGAACATAATACAAGCTACTTAAAACTCTGCTTTTGAATGATGATGAAAAGAGAAGGAGGTGGAAGTAGATGTGATTGTAACTTTCTGTATTTTTAACATTTCCATTAATGGGCTTCCTAACAGAGAAAAGGTGATTTAAAAAGAGGAAACAAATGGAAAGGAAACTTAACTTCGCTGAGGCCCTTAACAACTCCACTGAGGCCAGAAAAGGAGCATGTCCAAAGCTTAAATCAAGAACTCCGTAAAAAAAAAAAACCCTGAAGTTGTCCCCACCCCACCCCCCAAAAACCCCAGCAGCTGCCTTGGCAGCCGTGCACTGGCTCTCTAGAACTCGGGTGTGGGAGGAAAAATGCACGAACGCACTTATGAATGGAATGTGTATTTGTAAAAGGCCAAGTTGGCAGCTCTGGCTTCCAAAAGGTGGGAGCAGCAGCCTAGAGAACAGAGTCTGCAAACTGAGGCCTCAGAGGCCTTGTGGTCCAGCCACCAGCCTCTGTGGAATTCTGGGGTTGAGGGCCTGTGGAGACACTGCTAGTCCTACCCATTCAGGAGAAGGAAATGGCCTAAACGTATCCAAGGAGGCCTACTGTTGTTTAAGTGCCTCAAGTTTTGACTCATAGTGACCACCTATAGGGTTTCCGAGGACCACACTGGGGCTTTCCTGAATTTGAATTTAATCCGCCTAACAAACTTAAGAAGTCGGTTCTAAATGTCTCCATTTTAAAGGTGAGGAAACAGATTTAGGCTCTGGTAGCGTAGAGGTTACGAATTGGGCTGTGAACTGCAAAGTCAGCAGTTCGAAACTACCAGCTGTTCAGCGGGAGAACGATGAGGCTTTCTGTTCCCATAAAGATTTACAGCCCAGAAACCCTGCACAGAGTCGCTATGAGTCGGAACCGACTCCATGGCACATAACCACCACCACAACTTTCCACAAACTCGCTCTCTGAATTAGTAAATCGATAGTTCTTCATTTTGTACAGCTGAGAAAACAGATTCAAATGGGATTAAGTGACTTGTCCCAAGAGCAGAGCTGAAACTCCAGTGCAGGCTTGTCTATCCAAAAGCAAGTACTTGCCTTGTGCTTCAGGACTGTGTGCTCAAGAGGAGGGGAGCACAGCTGCCGCTCAGCTGGGTGGGAAGAAATCCAGCAACACTGTCAGCTTCAGACTTCGCCATGGAAAAGGCAGAAGTGGAGAGATGGCCTTGGTTTGGAATTGTCATGGGCCAAGGTTAGCAGAATGACTGACAACAGTTCCAGACACTCTCCTGTCAGCCACTCAAGAGGTAGCTTTCTTCGGGGTCTTGCAGCTGAAGTTGGCAGTGCCCCTGGGGAACTTCTCTCCTGCGGTGTCCTGAATCCAAATCAAACTTGTCTCTTCGGGCTCCTGGCTCCCAGTCTCTCCAGATTACCAGATTTTGTAGAAGTGCACTTCAAAGGATTCAGCACTGCCTCAAATGCTCAATCTAGACAATTAATTTTAAGTAGAATTGTTTTCTAATGATGAAATCCATAGATGCTGAAACGTGTAAAAATTTCAGCCAATACACTGATTAGGTAAAACTGAATTTGATCATTCCACTGGCTAGAGAAAAATACTGTTACCATTTTTGCATAATAGCCTTTTGGAGATATTGTTGCAAGCCTATGTATAACATTGTGTGTATTTTTTTCTACAAAAAGGGCTCAAAATATATATACTATTCTTAGCTCTCCCCCTTCACACAACATATAATAGTCAACACATTGTGAACACCCTGTGTACAGAATGAAGTGCATGGTGTTGAGTGTATAGGGTTTCCAAGGAGTGACTAGTGGATTTGAAATGCTGACCTTGCAGTTATTAGTCCAGTATTTATCCTACAGTGCCACACCAGGATGCCCCTCATGAACATAGCTGCAAAAATTATTAACCATGTGGACCCAGTTGGGGACCTGGTTGGCAAGCAGTGTGAGCAAACCTGGGGACTCTTGGGCCCAGAGTCAGTGGTGTGGCCACGGAGGAGTCGAGCAGGGAGTGAAGCTACTGGCTGATGGGAAGAAAGGGCATGTGCACAAGAACGCCCACACTTGCAGATGGTACCCACGTGACCTAGACCGATGACTGGATGATCAGAGCCCAACCAGGAGAAGAAAGAAGAGGAAAAAAAAAAGTGAGCTGATACAATCTGATGAACTTGACCTATATCTACGGATGCAGTGACTCAAAAGAAGGAACAAATCCTTACAGCAAGAAACATTCCCACCCCCTCCACACACAGAATAGACAGAGAAGGGCAACTTGGACATTGGATACCCAAATGGGGTGGGGGAGGGACTACAAAGGCAAGAAGTGACTGGCTTACATGCTTTCAAGAGGGAACCTAGAGCTAGGGAGCATGGAGGAAGGCAGAATCTCCAGTGAGTACTATCCAATCTGTCTAGGAGGAGCTGATGAAATACAGATGGGTAACTCGTGATACTGTAGTGAATAATGGTTATCAGGACTGATTATGAGGGTTGGAAATGCACAGGTAGACGTTTTGTAGCAAGGAAGGGAGTGATTAATTTTCCAGTCTAGGAGCAGAGGTCTCTAGGACCATCAACAGAGAAGAGCTGAGAGCGAGACCCTACCCAGAGAAGCAGAGATCCCTGAGATAGAGGCAGAGATGATGACGTGGAGTGATGAAGCGGCTGGGGACTTTGGATCCAGAGAGGGAGAGGGACTGTGGGCGAAGACTGGTGGTGGTGGGGGGGGTGGGGGGTGTGTAGGGGGTGGGTTTCTACGATACACCCTTTGGTTGGTTGATGATGCATGGAGGGGATTGGAACCATGGCAATGAAATGATATACGATGGAATGAATGTAAAACTAAAGTTCTCTCATGTAAAGTATAATTCACAATGAAACATTAAAAAAAAAAAAAAAAATTATCAACCAAACCTTAGCCAATTGAATCCAACAGCATATCCAAAAACTAATATAGCCTAACCAAGTGGGATTCAGAACAGCAGTGCAGGAGTGGTTCAACATGAGAAAACAACACAATCCACCCCTTAAATAAAAGACCCACAGGATCATATCAATGGATGCAGAAAAGGCATCTGACAAAATCTAAAATGCTGATAAAAATGCTCAACAAAACGAATAGAAGGGAAATTCCTCAACATCATTAAGGGCATCTGATAGGGCTTCAAAAAGTTCATGGGAAATGGAAATAAAAGATCATGGAAATTTTCCATAAACTTTTAGCCCTCTCCTGGTGTGATGCTGTAGGATCAGCACTGGACTGACTGCTAACCACAAGGGTCAAACCCACCAGCTGCTCCTTGGAAACCCTATACAGGTTTTCTATGAGTCAGAACTGACTTGACAGCACTCAACAACAACAACATATATACAAAACCAACAGCCAACACTGAGTCAATGGAGAGAGACCAAGAGCATTCCTTTTGCAGACGAGAACCAGACAAGGATGCCCTTTATCACCACTCCTAGTAAATATTGTACTGGAAAAGCAATAAGGCAAGAGAGAGAAAGAAAACACCCAAATTTCTTGTAGATGATATAATCTTATACATCTCATTTATATTCACAGCAATCTATGAGCTCTGTGCCATCATTATCCCAAGCAGAGGCATGTTAATAATTCAAGTTCATACAACTAACGAGCAGGAAGACTTGGATTCAGAGTCCAGAGCTTTATTGCCTCTGTCTGCAGATCTCCTTTACTGGTGATTTACACACACACACATGCTTATATACAACTGTGTGCCTAGACCTATGGCCCTCCTAACACAGAAAGTTACCAGTTTGACAGTTGCTTAAAAAGGGCTGGCTTTTACAGACTTTGAAGTGTCCACATTTCAAAGGAAAGATTTGGTGTGAGGCGGCACCTACTGGTGAAGGGTGGAACTGAAGCCTCATTTTGAATGGTGTTTCCCCACTGCTTCTGGTGGAGCTGCCAAGGTTTTAGTTAAGTCATTTTTTTTTTTTTTTCTATTTTCTGTTTAGCTTTAATTGTATAGCAACAGTCAATGAGGCAAGAGTCTGCCTTGGAGAAATTGGCCTCTGAACAAATTCAGTGGGGTGCCTGGTGGAGCCAGCAGCTGGGACAGCACCTGTGCACACAAACCCACTGACACACAGACTCGACATTTCCTCAGTCTCGAGGACCAGTGCTTGCATTTTAGTCCTTTATTGATGAGAATGTGTCCATGCCATAAAAAATGAACTAGGCTCTTTTGCAAGAGCTGCCTGCCCCAAGCTGCCACTGCCCATGAAGGAGGGCAGGTCAAAGTGCTGGGAGACTCACAAAGACACGGCGGCGGCAGTACTTTCCTCTTCATCTTTGATTCCCATCAGCCCTAGGCCAGAGAGCGATCCATGAGAGCTGAAACACATGAAGAGTGACGGCTTCATCCATAAGTGTGCGTGATGGCTAGAAACTAGCTAGAGGAGGTTCGGGTTTGGGGATGTGTGCTTGCGGTGTGGGGTGGAGGGAGGTTTCCTGCTGGAGATGCTTAAAGGAGAGAGAACACTGACTCAAATCCCAGTTCAGCCACTTCAGAGATGAGGGGCAAATCACACTTCTGTCAAGGGCAGATTGTCTGCACAAAGCCTCAGTTTCTCAATTATAAACCTGTAAAACAATTGCACTCCTACCTCATAGGGCTTTTGTTAGGACTGTAAACAATAATGACAACCATACACTGAGCACTTCCGACCTGCCAGGCACTGCTCTAAGTACTTTACATGCATCGCTTTGTTTAAGTCTCCACATAGCTTCTGGATGCCGGCACCCTATCTTCGTTTTCCAAATACATAGGCTCACAGACACGACAGCATGCTGAGGTCACGCTGCTGGTATGGGACAGAAGCAAGATCTCATTAATGGCCATCTGCCATCAAAGTCTTGGGAGTTTTTCTGTGGCTCATTTTACTTAAACATTTCACAGCAGCTACTATGTGCCAGGCACTGTTTTGGACTTGAGTTGGAGGGTAGACAAGGTCTCTGAAGCAAAGTAGGCAGATAGAGTAAAGATAAACACAGACCTGTCACCACCTGATATGTGAACTACCAAGCACTCACCTTCCTGGGCATGGAGGATGGGCTTTAAGGGCTGGAGTCAATAGACCAGCCCAACCAAAGCAAACTGACTGCCATCCTATCAATTCCAGTTCTCAGTGACCCTGTCGAGGGTTTCTGAGGCTGTAAATCTTTACAGAGGGAGAAAGCCTCATCTCTCTCCTGTGGAGTGGCTGGTGTTTGAATTGCCAGCCTCGTGGTTAACAGTCCAGTGCTTATCATAATGCGAAGGATCTTGGAGTCAGCTAGACCATCAGGGTTTAAATTCTGACCGTACACTTAGTTAGTAGCTGTGTGACTTTAGTTAAGCTGTTTGATCTGAGCCTTTTTCTCCACTTGTGAAGTGGAAATTCTAACAACTTCAGTTTGCACATGAAAGTACTGAAACTTATTAAAAGTCTGCTAAATTATAGCAATTTAAATCTTTTCATTAGTCAATTCAGCAGTGACCAGAGGTGCTAAGTATTATTTAAGAGCTGAATTCAGCCTCACAGTAAGAAGACTTCTCCTTTATCCTAAGGCCCTAGCTTCCCTGGGGTATCAGCTGGCATCAGACAGGGCGGGAGAGGCAGTTACACAAACTCACAGTTTTCTTGAGAAGATGCATGTTCCTGCTGCTGAGTTTGATGAGTATGACTGCAGAAGTCTGAGTGGGAGTTTAAGAGGAAGGAATAACAGCCAGCCTCCTTGTTGCAGGACCTGCTCTTTAGACTTGGCACATCTGTCTTAGAACCTTTTACGCGCCCTGTTCCCTATACGTCCCAAGCCCTCAACATGTAACCAAGGAACTGACCATGCTTTTGGGTCCCTCCAAGTTTACCGGCACAGTAAAGGATGGCTATCTAAGTCTTCTACCTGGAACCAGGAAAGGCCGTCCCCTCAGTACCCCCTTCCCTCCCTCCACTGACCATAAGGAGCCATGTACACACACATCTGCCTGCCTCCACAGCCAGGCTCCTAACCGAAAAAGCTATCTGGGCAACTTGTGGTCACTTTCCTAACTTCTTGCTGCTAGCTGATCTATAGCCTGGTTCACATACATTAATCTAACGTGGTTTTATTCTGTGGAAACACCTAGTAACTGCTTTTCAGAGACAGCAATTCTTTCAAGCAGTTCAGTAGGCAGTCCGCTTCATGAATGGCCCTGGCATGTAGGTAAGAAGGACTTTATGACAGAAAATGCATTTCTGATCCAGGCTTCGAGGCCTACTACATCAAGGGATCCTAGGGCAGGGAAAGAATCCTAGCATGTCAGAATGACCAGGAACTTTTTAGAAATAGTGCAATCCAGTAGTTTACAAACTGCTCAACAGAGCCACGCCCCTCTTGTACATTGCCCCAACCTACCCATTCATTCACTCACCCACCTACTCATTCAGATCCCATCGGTTTTGTTATTTAACATCAGTTTTCCTTTACAGAGAGGATTATACAGTGTCAAGCACTGATTCACTTCACATCCCTCTCATTTTACTCAGGGAACATTGAGACCTGCAGTGGGAAGTTGGCTTGGCCACCTTCCGCAGCCGGGGCCATGCTCCGAGCCAGCCTTGCTCCAGTATTCTGAGGTCAGAAGCAGCCACCCTAGCCCTGCTCACTCTTCAAGGTCAACACGGAGGAGAGCTGGGATGGCAGGAACACCTTCCCGGTAGGCAGGCAAAGGAGGTCAGACTTGAGCCTGGGCCTTGACATTTTAGCTCAGGTTGGGTTAGGCAGCTATTTCATGCCCCAGAAAAGCTTCCGGACCTAAGACCTCTGCCTTTACACTGGGAGCAGTTGTGTTCTTGAGGAAGTAATAATGTTGGAGCAGATCACTGTGAACTGAGACCATAATGCCTAGCAGAGCTCCCGTGGAGGCTGACAGGAGTCATGCACATGTTCAGTATGTGCCTGGATACCTATGCCATGTCCCTTCTGTAAGAACAGCTGGAGCCCAAGGACTGGGCACAAAGGGACAACCCTTCAGTTCTTACCTCTCAGTTCCTGGCAGTAGGATGAGGCAGAGCGTGCCCGGGCATAGGCTGTGGTAGAGCTTCCCAATCTTGCGTCCCCAGCGCCAGGCTGCTATCTTGGGGTGGTCCACCTTCAAGACCTGGGATCAAAGCCATGTATCAGTACTCCACCAGGGTATCCTCTGCTCACCTTGGGAGAGGCTCCAATTCGAGAGGCACAGGAGTGCAGCAAAGGTTCAGTACAAATGCCCTCATCTTATGTAAGAGCCCACACTGCGGGCTTCCCTGCTCACCACCGCAGCCCCCGGCCTCCGAGTCAGTGTAGGACCTCCTCCGGGCACGATGGCTGCTGCTTTTTCCTCCAGGTGGGTCCTGTAGGGCCCTGAGCTGGGAGCACCACATCTCTGATCAGGGCTCTCACCTGGCCTCTGCCATTAAGTATAGCTTTTGTGACTGTGAGCAAGTCATTCACCAACTCTGGTCTGGATTCCTCCTCTGCTCAGTGTGGGAGCTTTGACAGTTTCCCAAACTTTAGTCATTCACATTCAACCTTCACCATTCTACTCGTGGCCCTCGATTGGTTTGGTTTTGTAAGTGTGTCAACAACTTCTTTCTTGGCCTTTTCCAAGCAATACTATCTATGAAAAATAAATAACCTGTAGTTCCAAGGGGTTGTTGCCTATTTTAATGAGTGTTAGAAAAAAAAAACAAGTCCTTAACTATCGATGGATCAGCCAGGTGGCAGCATTGATGGCGTCAAGTGTGGCAGCGGTAGTGAGGTTGGCCCAGGATCGGACATTGTTTCATTCTGCTGTGCATGGGGTCGCTATGAGTCGGTTCCGACTCGATGGCACCTAACAACAACATTACTATCAAAAAAATAATAATAAAATAAGTCCATCTGTGACCACCAAAAGTAATCCTGTGTGTGTACCACACGTGGGGAAACCCTAGACTCGACCATAAAGACTAGTCCAGCTCTCTGACCTCCTGCATCAGTCCCTCAAAGTTTCTTAGAAACCTACCAAAAGAATTAAAAGCTTGACTTCAGTAGACAGGAAGGGTCAAGAGTATGAGACACCTGGGAGAAAGATCGAAGTAGCCAGGGTTGGAGAAGATGGAAAATGAAAGACGGGTCAGACAGCAAGAGACTGAGGCCCAAGTGTCACTAAGCAGAACAAGTCCAGAGCCAGCCTAGCAGAGCTGTTGCCTTTCCTGTCTGACACTCATCCAACTCACCTGTAAGGCTTGCTTCTCTGAGGGTGGAGGTAAGACACGAAGTCCTGGAGGTCTTCTGGACTCAGGAGGCAAGCCCCTGAGCCAGGAGTGGAGGTGCCTGGGGGTCAGTGCATGTCTGCCTTTCAGTTTCCAGTCCTCGTCTGTGAGAATGTCGAGGGCCCTCTGGGCACTGTCCAAAGTTCTGAATTCTGAAAGCAGAATACCCCCACCTTGTGTTATTGAAGTCCAAGAAAGTAGGTCACCATCCAAGCTGGCACCTGGCCAGGGCCAAGACAGAAGGACAGAAGCAGGAGCTGCTGCCCTGGTCCAGCCTAGGAGCGTTTGTTTGCTGACCCTTTCCCTTCTCAGACCTCATGTGTCCACCAGTGCCAATCTCCTTCCCTCAGGCTACATTTGGCGGTATAGACTTACTTAGGAAACAGTATTTCTTGTGGTTTCCGCTCTTAAGGTCTTTAGGCAAGATCACAGCTTCCAGGCCAAGGAAAAGGTTGGACTGCTGTAATAGGTGTTCTTTGAAGGTTTCACTGACTCCAGACAGGTAAATAGTTCCTTCGTTCTCAGAATCTTGTTCCAGTTCATTCACAAGGGTCTCACAGTCGAGGGTGAGCTCTGTTACAGGCCTCTGCACCTAACCCAGAAGCCAAGGTATTAGTGGGCATCACTTCAACCCCCTCCACCTCTGCATACTAGCTGGAGTCCTTGGGAAAATAAGTTTGCAGTTTCCTCATTTATAAAATGAGGACAATGATAACTGGTTTACCTTGGTGGAGACTAGACACATAGGTAGATAAAAATAGACGTATTTACTTTCATGTAAGTACATTCTCCCTCTTTCTCTCCCTGTCCCAAATATTAAAAACCCATTTTCTGCCTCCAACCCCCAATGAAATTCTGTTTACTTAGGTAAGAAACTTCAAAATACTACCACTTGGTCCCCTTGAAAGTTGAGAGAAAGGGTTACCACAAAGAACCACCCAAAATCAGCCTGTGGACCCTGAGTAGTGACAAACAGTAACGGGAAGAGCCCAAATTAGCCTTGGTGTACTTTGACAAAAGCAAAAGCTGTCAAGACTTCGGTGCCTGGACGTTAGGAGACTCTCAGGCCTGGCTAGAAACTTTCCATACTAGAAGTCTTGTGTCTGAGGGGGCCTCTCTAGGCTGTGTCCTATATGTCTTGAGACTGTAAATACAGGCTGTGTGGGGCTAAGGCTGAGAGAAGGGTGATTTTTTGGTATGTCTATTTCTGGTCACCCTACCTTGATAGAGATACCTTCTATCAGAGCACCATTCAAGGTCTCTATGGCCAGCTGGGCAGCTTCCAGGACTTCATACTGGACACAGAGATGAGGCTGCAGAAAGAACAAGGTCCCCTCACCTTTGCTTTCCAAGCTCAAACTGCTGGAGTAGGAGCTGGGGGCAGGTCATGGCCTACAACACCTAAAGCCACCAGAATGGATGCCCCTTACTATGCTGGCTAAACAATGAGTGCAGACTGCTTCATGGTGGAATTCACTTTTAGTGGAATCTAAGGTTCAGGACCTTTCCTAAGATAATAATAACCTTTACATGTCATTAAAAATGGAAGCCCTCTCTCCCTGGGTGGTGTGGGGATAAGTAACAGCAAATTCTTGACTATCCAACTTGTTTTTCCTAATATTTCTTAGGAGTCATCAAAGGCTGTGTCATTACTGAAAGCTACAGGTAGAGATTTGCATTTGTCTTTGTTGTTAGTTTAATCTTAGACAGGCAGCTTTGCTACAAGCTCAGGGAGCTAAGGTCTCCCATTGAATAGGTCACATCTTTGTGATCCACAAATGCCCGGATATCCAGTCACCGGCGTTTACCCTTTCTGGGCTTGAGTATACTCTTTTCTAAAGTGGCCTCCTTTCATCTGTAAGGTAGAACTTTTCTGTTCAACAGCACTGCTTGCTGCTCCTTTTCTACTTAATGCTTCCCTTGGAGACAATCATTCTTTGTGCTTATCTGAGTCATAGGATCACCATGGAGAGAAAACCTTCCCATAATCCTCCTCCTGTATCGTAACCCATCTAGGAGCTACTTGGATGCAAAGCCCTACATGGAAACTATTACTGTTTTTGAAACAGTATTTTATCACTTAAATCTGAGGACACAGTCAGAAGATCAGTAGGCTACATCCAATTAGTAAACATACTTTGTGTCTGGTCTACATAATGCTTATGAAAACTAGAGCCGGCATAGATATGAAAGTTGGCAGATTTCTCAATTCCCTTTCAAAGTTAAATGGGCTGGCAATACTTGGTGGTCAACATTTGCCCCTGTCAGACAGAGCCTAGCTCACACTGCAGTTGGTAATAGTCAAGCTCATTTAATTAAGATTCTATATGGTTCTTGTAAACATCTAAGTTTCTTGCAGTAATCTAGATGGTCAAAATCTGTGTTTTCTGGTCTCCTTACCTGGTGAGTTTCAAGAACAAGAGTCATTGATCTAACTGGGCCAAAGCTCTTAAACACCCTCTTCAGAGCCTTAAGGTTGCAATTTTTGTTAAATGGTCCAACATAGACAGTTGACATCTCTGACCACTTGACCCTCATCTACAGGGAAAACAACAGAACATACTGAGAAAGTTCAAGTAAAAAGAGAAACAAAGAAAAACTCTGGAGATATACACAACAAATGTATTACTTCCTGAAATAGGGACAGATTATAAGAGTAATTAAATAAATTACCCAGCAGAACCCAGCCACTCACCCTTTTGTTCATCTCCTCAGTGAGGCTGGGGGAAAATGGCTCAAAAGAGAACTGGACAATGCTGAAGGGAAACAGGGGGATTTCCACTCTGGCCTGTTCTAGAACCTGTGGAGAACACAGCCCGGATGAGCTACTGTGACTCCAGGAAGTGAGCCACGTAATAGAAAGGAAGTTGTCGTTTTAGCTCTACTGAAAAGCATTATGGGGCTGACTTCCAGCTCCGGAGAAAACCGGTGACACTGCAGAGCCTCCCCCAAAATTATCCTGAGTAGACAATAAGCACGTGTGACCCGTACGTGGCTGCTAAAGCCTTGCAAGTACTTCTAATTAGGGGCTTACATTCCAACAGAGCTCCCCCATGGCACACTGCTACACATTGGTGAGGACACACAACATGGAAGAAGTTCTCTGTGAGAAAGTATAAAGGGATATGGAAAACTTAGATGAAGCCCAAAATCACTCCCAGAGAAAGTCTAATTCATGCCATAATAATGAACACAAGCCAAAGCTTTGCCATACCACAGCACCTGACAACCTCAGAAAGCAGTGCTTCTAGGGAATGGACGACAACCACATCATTACCTAACTGTTAAATGTCATCATTATACAATTTCCAAACCACCGAGAGTCAGGGCCTAGCCACGCTACACTCATTGATCACAGCCAGTGCTACTCTTGCCTCACACCTGGCATTTGTTGCTGCCAGATATGTGTTCATGTGCAAAATAGTTGGATAGTAGAATTTTTTTTTTAACTACTGTCCTAAATGTGAAATGTTGGTAACGAGGTAGCTGATAAGTGGTAAGTGTGATCCATTGCATAGATTATGACCCTTGGAGACAGTGCCGTTTAGAGAAAGAAGGAAATAAGGGGGAAATTAAGGAACCAGCAGAAAGGAAAGAGAAATAACACACCTGACAACCCCTCCCAACAACAGCAGCATACACAGCCCTCCTCCTCAACACTACAACACCATTCTTAAAAAGACCAGGAGAGAAGAAACTGCGGTGAAAGGCAAAACAACAGAAGAGGGCCTTGTAACTGAAAACTCTGTTCAAAAATTGAATAAAAATTTAAAAAAACAGTAAAAACACGAAAGAACTACAAAATAAAAAAGCAAAGAGAATCAAAGCACTTCAGCTGATGAAAATTCCCCCCAAAATCAATGATGGAGCTGAAGCAAAACTGTTATCATTATTTGCAGTTCAATTTGTGGTTATGAAATCAAGCATTTGGGGATATGAATAATTTAAATGAGAAAGAAAAATAAAACTAAGAACAGAAGATGGATTACAAGGTATCAAGAAAGAACAGATTCATTGAAAAAAAATCAGGGGAAAAAAATCTCAGAGAAAAACAAAAATTAGATGAAGAAGATTAGACGGAGAAGAACTGAAATGGAAGACAGTCAAAGGAGGGCCGACATGCAAGGGAGTTTCAGAAAGATCCTGGAAAAACTCTATTATCTTTTCACTCCATTTTTCATTAACTTTTTAAAGCTGCCTTGTACATATGTAATTGAAATTTGTGAGGAAGAAAAAACAATGGAACCAAATGAATATTTGAAAATATAATTCAAGAAAACATTCTGGAAACAAAAAAAGACCAGAATCTATACTATATATTAGAAGGGCTACTGGGCTTCAGGAAAAATTAACTTGAAATGATCAACTCTTGAGACACAGCTTAGTAAGAGACTTTTAATACAAAGGGAAAAAAATTCTCAGGCCCTCTAGGCATTAAGAAGACATAACTTTTAATGCCAAGAGAATTACACTGTCATTGAACAAAAACAACTTACAAGGACTTCACCTCCAACCAAGATGGAGTAAAGCAAACCAGGAACAGAAGAAAGCTTCTAGAACCTCAGAAAGGGGGTCTATTTAAAAAACAAAAACAACAAAAGAGTTCCTGCTAGCATCATGATTAATGGTATGAGATTGAGTACATTTCCCCCTAAGATCAGGCACAAGCCAAGAATGTCTGCTCTCACCTTCTAGTCCTATTTTGTGAAGTGTTTTTTGTCATGAACGGATGTTTGAGTGTGTTAAATGCCTTTTCTACATGAATCAATATGTGGGTCTTTATAGATCCACTACCATTTAACACTGTTCTGGAAGCATTCACCAAAGCTTTTAGACAAAAAAAAATAGATGATAATATTTGGAAAAAAAGACATTTGTAAGTGGTGTACATACACACTGAAATACTATGCTCATCCTGATTTAATTTCTAGGATGAAGTCAATGCTCATACTGATTTAATTTCTAGGATCGACTGTCACAGGAAAAAAAAAAAAAAACAATCGCAAATGTCATCTTCTGTGTAAGAAAAAGAAAATCTCAAATTAATAACCTGACTTTCCAACTTGAGGAACTAGAAAAAGAAAAGTGAACTGAGCCCAAAATTATTAGGAGGAAAGAACCAACCAAAATCAGAAACAAAACAAATAGGGAACAGAGTGTCAACAACACCCGAAGTTGGCTTTTAGAAGAGATCAATGAAACTGACAAATGTTATCTACACTAAAAGGGAAAAAAGAAAAAATGCAAATAACTGAAATCAGAAATAAAAGTGAAGGCATTGCAGCTGGCCCTACAGAAATAAAAAGGTTCATAAAAGAATACTAAAAGCTCCATACAGTAAGTTAGATGAAATGACAAATTCCTAGAAACACATAAACTACCTAATTGACTCAAGAAGAATAGAAAGTCTCAACAGACCCATAACACGTGAAGAGATTAAATCAGTAATCAATGCTCCCCACCCCCCAGCGGCCCCCAACAACAGTAGAGTCCTGGAATATATGGCTTTACTGGGGAATTTTACCAAACATTTAATGAATTACTCTCATTCTATGAGAGTCCCTGATAGCAAAAAACGTGGAAGCAGGGACTCATTTTGGCATCATTCACAACAGCTGAAAGGTAGAGATACAAGTGTCCATCAAAAGATGAATGCATAAATGAAATATGGTATGTCCACACAATGGAATCTGATTCAACCATAGAAATGAAGTTCTGTGCAGGCCACAACATGGTGAATCTGGAAACCATTATCCTGAGTAAGGTTAAGTCAGTGCAAAATGAAAAGTACTGTCTGATCGCACTTATGTGACATAAGCAAATATATGAAGGGACTTCCACTGCACCACTGAAGCTCCTTAAACAAATAGATACCAAGAAACCATAACCACTGCCAACAAGTTGATTCTGACTCAGTGTCCCTGAATAGTGTTTCCAAGAATGTAAATCTTTACAGAAGCAGAGCGCCTCATCTTTCTCACTTGAACAGCTGACCTTACAGTTAGCAGCCCAGTGCCAAACTCACAGTGATACCAGGGCTCCTAGAAACCAAAAATTCTTAGTGGTTACCAGTGGTGAAAGGAGGGAGAGAGGGGGAGTTTTTGCTTAGAGGTAGGGAATTTATATGAATGGTGCTGGAATAATTGGAAAAAGATGGTGAGAATGGTTGTACAGTTTCATAATTTTCAGAAAATCAAGGTCATTGAATTATATGTCTAGAAATGCTTGGAATAAAGAGAAATGAAGTCCTAATACAATGTGGAGGGACCTTGAAAACATGCATGAACAAGTCAGACACAAAAGGGCATACTGCCTAACCCCACTTATATGAAACATCCAGAAGAAGCAAATGTAGAGAAAGCAAGGTTTAGGAGTGGTTTCCAGGAGCCCGTGGGTGAGGCAAATGAAGGTGTTACTTAAAGGTACTGAGTTGTTGTCCGGGGTGATGAAAACCTTCTGGAAATGGGTATTGGTGATGGTGGCACAACCTGGCGACCATAATTAATGGTACTGAGTTGTAGATAAAGAAACAGTTCATTGGCAATTGTTTGTTAGATAGAATATAATTCACCACAATAAAAATTTGTAAAGAGAAATAAAATATATACAACAGGAAACATCAAAGTTATTAACTTACAAGAGGTGAGGAGCTGGAGAAGCAAGTCTGAGAGGGACTGATACTTCTCTGAGTTTCCTGTGTGTATGGTTTTGCCTTTATAATTTTATGTTAATGTTCTATACATCAAAAATATTAAGTCAACATAAAAGGAAAACAAACAAACTAGAACTGAAAGCAAACTAAAATGGGGAATGAGGGAAAGAAAATAAGAACTCTGTATTTTTTGCTGTCATTAAGTGCCATCAAGTCAATTCTGACTCATAGCAACCCTATATAGGGCTTCCAAGGAGCGGCAGGTGGGTTTGAGCCGCCCCTGTACCAATTAGTTGAAATAGACAGTATTGGTTAGACAAAATTCCTAAAATTTCTGTGTACGTATATAAGTGTAAACAGAGTCCCTGGGTGGTGCAAATGGTTAACTGTGCCCAGCAACTAACCTAAAGTTTGAAAGTTAGAAACTACCCTGGAAGAAAGGCCTGGTAATCAACTAAAAATTCAGCCACTGAAAACACCGTGGAGGTCTTAAAAGCTGGTAAGCAGCCATCTAAAGTGTAACTATTGGTCTCTCCCCATCTGGAGCAAAGAAGGGTGAAGAAAATCGAAGACACATGGAACTAATGGATTACGAACATTAAATCCAAACGGTGCATAGCTACCATAACACCAAATACTCTGAAAGGAATCACACTGAAAGATCTTGGGTAGAGTGGGAGAAAAGTGGGGAAGACAACTCAGAATCACACAGAAGATCAGGCGTACTGGTCAGATAGACAATAGGAGCCCTGACAACGGCCCTTCAGGTCTAGAACTGAGCTCACCTCCATGGCTCCATTTCCAGCCAAACAACAGACACGTTTATAAAGGAGACAACAGCATTCCTTAGGATAATCAAACATTTGAGCTCAGAAAGGCAACATTTATCCATAGAGAGTTCACAAGAGTTCGGAAAGGAGGAGGAATGGAAACGGGAAACACAAGGGAGGAAGTGGGAGGAGGGACGCTACACTTGTGGGGATTGCAATCAATGACATGAAACAAAATGTGTATGAATTGTTGAATGGAACTAATCTGTTCTATAGATGTTCACCCAGTTTACAATAAAAAGTTTAAAACAAAACCAGATAAATAAATCCCATGGGGCACAGTTCTAGTCTGACATCTTTGGGGTCACCATAAGTTGGAATCAATATAACTGCAATGTGTATGGTATGTGTGTGTACATATATATATGAATACATGTATATATGTGTGTGTGTGTGTGTGCATGTATCTTCTATTCCTGCTAGAAGGGTCTAGAAACAAAGATACCCCAATAACAATATTCATATTTCACACCCATATTTTGGTCTCTAAAGACATGCCTGAACATTTTGAGTAAGAATGTGATCAAGAGGAGACAACGTAAAATCCAAAATGAGGATCATTCTGTTACAGAAAAAAGAGGGAAATACATTATGAGAAACAACAATATCATGAAAGACAAAGGCTGAGGACTGTTCCAGATGAAAGGAGGTGGAAATACACACGAAAGTATTTAGAGGCAAAAGACCATGATGTGTGCAGCTGTTTCTCAAAAATAACATGTCAGAGAGAGAGAGAGAAACATGCACACACTCAAATAATAATTCATTAATGCTGGGGCAGAGCATTACCAACAGGTGAATCTAAAATGAAGAGATGTAGATATTCTAACATTCATGCAAGTTTTCTGTAAGTCTGAAATTATTTCCAAATAAAATGTTTTAAAAAAACCCAACAACATGGTTCTTCGAGACAAGATCACACTGTAAGTTTATGCTTTGATTCACCCACTGTGTTTCCATATACAGTAATGAGAGAGAGAATATAAAAGAGTAAAGCAGAAGCTATAATAGCAGGCTTACAGTCAAGGGGACCATCTTCAGGAACCAAGCACAGAACAGAAATTCAAAGTAGGGGACAGCATTAAAGCCACTGCCTGCTGGCTCAGGAACCTCCACTATTCGTGACTGCATGAGCTGCTAGTTCTGCTCCTATTGGGTAGCTGGAACTAAAAGTGTTGCATACAAAATGCCAGTCAGAAGCTAGACTTGCTCATTATGGCCAGCTTGCTGCTGATAAAAACAAATCTTTCAGCTTACATGGGGTACAAAGGGACAACCTTTCGGTGCAAAGGCCTCCCCTCTGTTCTGAATGTAACCTGCAAAGGGACAACAGGCCACTCACCTCTTTATTTGAAAGGCACTTAATACTTCGACAGTTTCTGGAAGAAGAAAGTTCACTAGCATCTGTCTCCCGGGTCAAGAAAAGGAGTTTCTGACCCAATGAGTCCAAGCATTCTAAAACACTGGAGAGGATTAGAGAAGATCAAGGTAAGAAGTACAACAGTTTTCTACAGCCCAAAAGTTATTTCTCTACACCTGCCCTATCCAATATGGCAGCCACGGGTAACATGTGGCTAGTTAATTTTTTAAACATTTAAAGTTCCATTTCTCAGTTACACTAGTCACATCTGCTTAGTGGCTACCATATTGGACAGCTGAGATACTGGACATTTCCATCATCACAGATACTTGGAGAGTGGCAGTCTATAGTTAGGGAGAGGGACAAGCATATCCAAACCACTGTCAAAACTTAGAGCAAGGATCTGATCTATTTGTCATGGTCTGTGCAAGGCATCATTTTCAGACCGCTCACTAAGACAAATAAGTAGATACACAAATTTGCTAATTTTAAATTTAGCATGTTGTTAAGTGCTGTCAAGTTGGTTCAGACTCACAGGGACCCTATATAGGGTTTCTGAGGAGACTGGTAGGTTTGAATTACTGACCTTGTGGTTAGAAGTTCAGTGCTTATCCTATAATAACACACTAGGACTCCTAATTTAAGACAGAAGATGATATTTTGCCCCATGGTTTTTGTGATAGAAGAATGTTACTCATATTTTTGTAAAACATTTCTCAGTTCTCAAAACGGGGAAGAAAACCAACATCCCAGGTTTTGTTGTTAAATAAAAAACTAGATAGATACACATTTGCCTGTGCACTTGTTTAGGATGAAAAATTACTACCTTGTGTTTCGCTGTTGACCAACTTCTGTTGTATTTTTTTGCTCTTGGCCTGCTGTTTGCAATTCCTGGTGACTAGCAAGTGCCTCCAGATTTAGTCCTGCAATCTTGAAAATAAAGTAGTCAAACCCTCTAATTTCTCACAGAGCATTTGAGATAAAAAACAAAACATAATAAAAAACTAAAAGAAAAAATCCAGACAAGTGGTGTTAGCTGCTTCTTTACACAATGACTTTGCCATTGCCAAAACTCCCAAGCTGGCGTCAATAGTTACCAGACGGTTTCTAGCTGCTTAGCTAAGAATGGCAATCTGTTACCAGCTGCTGGTGTTGTTACATGAATATGGGGATGTGAATTTTGGTCCACTGCTCACTCCATAGTCATTTAAAATTTATTCCTCAGCAGATTTACAAGGTTTGGAACTGATAAAAGGCTTTTACAGCAACAATAAGGTAAGTCATCTTATTGCTTTAATGTAAGAAATGCCATTGAGTATCTTTTTTTTTTTTTTTTTAATTTTTAAAACGTTTATGTTTCTCTACTAGACATACAAAGAATGCAAACCCATGAATGGCATAAAAACTTATTTTAGTTGATGTTTAATCTTCATCTTTCAGAAAATGAGAGGCCACGGGGAGTAGTGATGCAAAGATTGAGATGTAATTGTTTAAATTGCCTTCTTCTTTTAGAATCGTCTATAGTTACAGAAACACTATGAAGATAATACATTAAGAGTTTCCGTATACCCAATTTCCCCGTTATTAACACTTTACATAAGTATGGAGCATTTGTCCCACTTAATGACCCAGTATCATACACTGTTATCACCTAAAGTCCATACTTGAGATTTCCTGCGTTTTTACTTGAGAGAGATACAGTTTTCACTAGAAATCCAGTGGCAGCACGGTATCATGTAGTGAATCTCAAAACAGTTCTAGGAACCTTCCTGGCAGTTTCAGAGCCCTTTCAGGAGAGATGATGACATCATCTCCAACAACACACACACAAGAGCGACTGTAGTGGCCACCTGTCTTCAATGAAGACACACGCTAGAAATGTGAAGAATGCATAAAACAATGACCGGCTTCCTGCTCATTAAACCTGATCAGATTTAAATTCTAATACTGTAACTACTGATAGATATGACCCACATACATTAAAGCTCTCTTTGTTGTTGTTCAGTGCCATTGAGTCAGTTCTGACCTATAAGCAACTCTGTATATTCCAAAGAGCAGTTGGTGAACTTGAACCACCCACCTTGTGGTTCAAACTGACCTTGCAGTCTAGTGCATTAGCCCACCGCACTACACCGGGACTCCAAAAGCTCTCTAAGGTCCTGCAATAATTTTGAAGAGGGTAAAGGATACTAAAACAAAATGATTTTGTTGTTGTTAAGTGTCTTCAAGTCAGTTCTAACTCATAGTGACCCTGTATAGGGTTTCCATCCAAGGTTGTAAATCGTTGCTGGAGCAAAAAGCCTCATCTTTCTCCTGTGGAGCAGCTGGTAGACTCGAACTGCAGACCTTGTAGTTTGCAGTCCAGTGTTTATCCTACAGAGCCTCCACTCTCCCAAAAATATTTTCAGAACCTCTGATCTAGTGGCTTAGAACAGGGGTTGGCAAACGTCAGTCCTTGGTCAAATTGGGCCTACTGCCTATTTATATATATATAAAGTTTGTATTGGAACTCAGCTGCCCCATTCATTGACATATTATCTATGATAATTTTTATACTACAATAGTAAGTTGAGTTGTTGCAATACACTATTGTCCATAAAATTAAAATATTTACTATCTAGCCTTTACAGAAAAAATTCACTGGTCCCTGGTGCAGAGCATTGGAAGACAGACTTGAATCGGACAGGCTTGGCCTTGAACCCTAGGTTCCACTCTGTCTAGCTGTGGATCCCCAGATACATGAACTAACCTTGGAAAACCTCAGAGGCCTCACAAATAAAATCAGGATGATGATAGTTTCTGAGGTTGCTGTAAGGATTAAATCAGATAATGTATAAAAAGCATCTTAGCACAGATCACTTATTTAGAGCTTAAAAAATGGTGGCTACTATTATTTACATACCCAATGAGATTGTTGGAACATTTTTCTACGATCACAAAACAACGTAAAACACTATTCCGGCTGATGATTATTGTTACCCTCTGTGGACTACAATTTATACATAATGGAGTCATAGTGGAATGTTATTGTGCAATGGGATAGTCTGATATCTTAGAATTCATTGTAATAAAGTCCGAAAAGAACATAGTTTCTAATTTGATGAACTTGACCTACACCTATGGATACAGTAGCTCAAAAGAGGGACCAAATCTTTACAGCGAGAATCATTCCCACCCCCTCGATATACACGGTAGACAGGGATGGGCAACTTAGACACTAGCTATCCAAAATGGAGGTGGGGGGGGATGTTACAAAGGCAAGAAGTAACTGGCTTACAAGCTTTCAAGAGGGAGCCAAGATCCAGAGGGTACGGAGGAAGGTAGAATCTCCACTGAGTAGTATCCAATCTGTCTGGGTGGGGCTAATGAAAGGAGATGGGGATAGGATTCTTGTGGTACAATAGTGAATAATTGTTATCAGGACTGACTGTGAGGGTTGGAAATGTAAAGATAGATGTTTTGCAGCACAAGGAGGGGAGTGATTGACTTTGCAGTCCAGGAGCGGAGGTCCCTGGAACCATCAAGGGAGAAGAGAGGAGTGCGGGACCCTACTCAAAGAAACAGTGACGCCAGAGATGGAGACAGAGACAATGACGTGGAGACATGGAGTGGCTGGAAACTCTAGACTTAGAGAGGGAGAGGGGCTGTGTGCTGACGACCAGGGGGTAGGCTTGCAGGGTATACCCTTTGGTTGGTTGATGATGCATGGAGGGGATTGTAACCATGGCAATGAAAAAAAAGGAAAAGAAAAAAGATTAAATGAGCTAGAGAAAAATAAAAGGACTACATAAACTGCAAAAAAAAAACCAACAAAAAAACATAGTTTCTAACAGACCTTATCACAATATGCTGTTTTAATCTATCCATATTGAGTTGCTGTTGAAACAATCACAATTCCCCCAACTCTAAGACAGCCAAGATTCACGCAGTTTTTTTTTTAATCATTATTGCAATTACTAGCATTGGTGATAATGGTTACTACCATCAATCTGGTGCTTCATTTATTTAAGGCATTGTTTGTTGTTAAGTGCTGTCAAATTGGTTCCAACTTTATACTAAGAGCTTTATGCACAGTCGCTCATCTACCCTCACCAGTATGCCCTAAGGAGTCCTGGTGTGGCCCCGTGTAGGATAAACACAGGACTGCTACCTGCAAGGTTGGCAGTTCAAACCCACCAGCATGCTGCTCATCAGCAGCTGCTGAGAAACTCTATATAGGGTTGCTATGAGTCAGAACTGACTCAATGGCACACAACAATGACCCCGAAAATGGGGTTTCCATTTTACAGATCTAAACTAAAGGCCAGAGAAACTGCCTAAGATTACACAGCAAGAAATTGTACTGCCTTTATTGAAAACCAACTGGGCCCAGCTCCAAAAACTATAAACTTCACTACTACATTATGCCAGTGAGATGGGCTTTAATTGCACATGTATTCTCAGCTCCAATCACATGCCCATTGTTTAAAGAAAGATAATAAGAAATGGTGGTCTAAGACTGCCCTGATCCCTTAATTTTTAGAAAAGCAAACACAATGGTCAAAAATACCAACCTTCTTTGGGCCATATTTAAGAAAATATCGAGCCAATTCAAGGGTTGTCCTAGCATCTTCTGTGGCATCATGACCAATCCTGTCTGGACGCTGTATATCTTTCCTGGAAAGTCAAAATAAAACTGACAGACCTGGGAGCATTTTTAATGAGCGACTCTTTCAAGCACCTCAAATGTTTAGGGTACATGTCTAATGTCGGACTCGCATCACAATATAGATCCTTTGGTCCAGCAAGGTTCCAGGCTCTGACAGAGGCTCTAAGGATGTAGAATGGTCTGCAATGACTTCGTCTGCCGCAGGCACATCGTCTGGACCAAAGGTACTCAACAAAGGCTGCCCCAGCCAGCCATGGTTTAGAGTAACCTTCCAGAAACTTTCTATTTGCATACAACTGTCTACCTGTATTTGGATGTTTTTGTAGAAATTTAGTATTGATATATCTAAATTATATATTGATATAAACTAACTCTAATCTATATTACAAGGAGCTCTGGTAGCATAGTGGTTATGAATCAGGCTGTGAACCGCAAGGTCAGCAGTTCGAAACTACCAGCTGTTCCATGTGAGAAAGATGAGGCTTTCTACTCCTGTAAGGATTTACAGCCTCGGAAACCCTGTACAGGGTCGTTATGAGTCAGAACTGACTCCAACGCACATAACAACAACAATCTCTATTACACTGATTTGAGTAAAACACCATGCTTAATAAAGTGCAGGGTTCGGTGAGGGAAAGACCCCCAACGAGATGAACACAGCGGCAGTAGCAATGGGCTATCATGTGACAGTTGTAAGGCTGGTGCAGCACTGAGCTGTGGTTCCTTCTCTTGTGCCTACGGTTGCTATGAGTTGGAATCAACTCGACAACACTTAACAACAATAAACATAAAGATGTAGGTTGTGCTCTACACTTCCATTTTATTTTCAGCAGTAGCTGCATACTGCAACATGCAGATCCATCGTGTTCTTTTGAACAACAAAGTACTCAATACTATATGCTGCCTTTGAGTTGAATGAACTCATAGCGACCCTATAGGACACAGTAGAAATGCCCCCACAGGGTTTCCCAGACAATGGGAACATGTACGGAAACAGACTACAGAGGTTTCTCCAATAAAACAGCACGCAGGTTCAAATAGCTGACCATCTGTTCACAGTCAGGTGCTTTAGCCGCTGTACCACTCAGGCTCCTGATTCAGTAGTACAGATAATCATCCAGTCTTCTAGAACATTTCCAGCTGTTTGGCTATTTTACACCATGCTATGGGTCGGACCCGACTCGACGGCACTTAACAACAACAACAACAACAACATAATAAATATCTTAGACATTTTTGTGTGTTTCTACAGAGAAGGATGTATTCAATGGAGTCCTTGTGTGGCACTGTAGGATAAGCACTGGACTGCTAACCTCAAGGTTAGTGACTCAAATCCACCAGCCATTCCTCGGAAACCCTAAACAGGGGTCACTATGAGTCAAAACCGACTCGAAGGCATTTAACAAGAACTGCAATATGTTTTGAAATGTTTGGTTAACCTTTCTATTCTTCCCGGTTTGGTTCTGTCCATCAAACCTTGGCTGTAAATTCAAATTCCTTCCTCTAGTCCCACAATTTCTCCATCCCTGAGTTATACTTTTCTCTGGAATTAGGTTTCCAAGATTCTTCAGAAACCTAACATGGAGAACAGAGATTCTGAATGTTTCATCAAATTAGATACTGGACTCCTGGCATGGCATTGTAGGGTCAGCACTGGACAGTGAACCATGAGTTCAGCAGTTCAAACCCACAAGCTGCTCCTCAGAAACACTATACAGGATCACTATGAGTTGGAACCAACTCAACAGCACTTAACACCAACAAACGATAGTATATGTGCAATTTGCTAGGACAAAATAATACACAAATAAACCTACCCCAAAACAGCTTTGGCTAAAAACTTCAGCTTAAATCTTCTGCCCTGCTCTCTGACATAGAGTAATGATGTATCAATGACATTTGGATGTATCATCTGAGGAGCAGAGAAAACAGAATCAGTAACATCCTATGATAAAGGAAAAAGCAAATGGGCTGGGGATGGATGAATCCAAGGCTTTTAATCTGAGACAAATAGAGGAGGGAAAAACCCAAGGTCTAAGCCAGAGTCTCACTTTCAGTACTCTGAGGTCCAGATCTAAAGAGTGGCCCACTACCACAGCATCAGGAGGAAGCAATGCCTTCAACTGTCTCTGTACATCTCTGAGTTTGGTCGTCACTGGATTAAGAATCTTCTTGGTGATTCCCGAGAAACTTTCAATAAAAACAGAGAAATGGACAGGCTAGGATATTAGCATGTTTTCATCTCAAAAGCCATTTACCAAAGAATAGTATGCTCATTCTAGAAAAGGTTTAAAAATAGAGAAACAAGAAGGAAACTTTAAATTATCCATAATCCCACCAAGTAGAGATCACTTTTTATATTTTAGTGAATACTAAACAGTCTTTCATATTTTTTATATAGACAAGGGAGCTTCAAAAAGTTCATGGAAAAATTCCATTATCTTTCAATTACATTTTTCCACGAATTTTTAGAAGCTCCCTCATATTTTCAAAATATACAATCATAATGCACGTGTTGCTTTAAAACATGATTTTTGTCATGTGCAAAATATCATGAGCAAGTTTTCACATCACTAAATCTACTTCAGCGCATCCTTTAAATGGAGTATTTCAACATTTCTGTTGTCATTTTTTTGCAATATTTTTTGTGACAACCTGCTTTTACATACACTTCTGCCACATGTGACTGGTTCCCTAGGAACATTCCCTAATTACCAAGACGGCTGATGTGACTATCACAACCTCCCAGTGTCCATGTAAGCACAGCTGTACACATGCAGTGCTTCACTGAAGTGTGCTTTTCCTAAAATGAACCAGGAGAGTCTGTACAATCTGAATTTATCTGAATTTACCCACAAGTCTTTGGAGAAACAGACTCAGATTTTGAGGTCCACATTCCTATTACGGGAGAACTTCATTTTATTGTCTCTTGGGACTGTGTGAGTGTCGCTGCAGATTAACCTCTCTAAGTATGACTGCCAAGTGATTTACACATTTTTAAATGAAGTCTTACCAGCAAGCAAAGCTCCAAGTGTTTGGGAGTTACTAGATATTACAATTAGGAGATTCTACAACAAGGAAGATAACATTCTAACTTAAGGTCATCAGCTAAGAGACCAACAAGGACAGTAGTTATTGCACTTGTACAATTGATATTGTACAATTTTACTATGAAAATTTAGTAATGTTTTGCCCCAGCCTTTTCTTTGATAATATGTAGGTGCATAATACCTGGAGTCCTGGTGTGGCACTGTGGGTTAATGCGCTGGATTGCAAAGTCAGTTTGAACCACAAGGTCGGCAGTTCAAGCTCACCAGCTGTTCCTGGGAAACCCTACACAGGGTTGCTATAGATCCGAACCAACTCGACGGCACTTAACAACAATACAACAATACCTGGTGCAGTGCTGTACAATAAGCACTGGACTGCTAACCAAATTGTCGGCGGTTCACACCCACCAGTTGCTCTTGGAAACCATATACAGGGTTGCTATGAGTCGGAACCAACTCAACGACACTTACCAACAACAAACAGAAGCAATGAGCTATTCCTACTAAGTCTCACTCCACCCTAGCCTGAAAGCTGTAGGAAGTGCTGGAGAGGAGGTCAGGTTACCTGGTGAGGTAGTCCACAATCCTGTTGTCAGGTTTAACCAGCTCATCCATAATGCAGCAGCCTCCTTCAGCAACCAGTGAGATGCGTGTCAACTCTCTCCCCTTGGACGTGAGGCACTGAAACATGGAAATGTCATCGGGTGGTTGAAATGCAGAAGCTGCTGCTTCCTCTCATTATTCAGACTATGCCTCACGCTGCTGGAGGCCCTGTGGGCGCTAAGCAGGCTGCTGAATCAACACAGTGCAAGTTCTGTGGGAAGGGCATGCTGGGGAGGAACAGAAATCTCATTTAGAGTACTACCTACCACTTACTACGTGTGGACTACATTTCTGGTATTATGCTTCTTGTTGTTAAGTGCTGTCAAGTTGGTTCCAACTCACAGCAACCCTGTAAAGGGTTCCTAAGGAGCTTCTGGTGGGACTAAACTGCCAACCTTGTGGCTAAGCAGCCCAGTGTTGACCCTGCAGCGCTACACCAGGACTCCAGAGTCTATGCTAAGTACCAAGAATAAATCCACGGCCATCGAGTCTATTCCAAGTCTCAGTGAGGCTGCAAATCTTTACAAGTGCAGACAGCTTCATCTTCTTTCTGTGGAGCAACTGGTGGGTTTGAACTGCCGACCTCGCCTGCAGCAAAAAGCCCAATGCCTAACCCACAGCACTACCAGGGTTCCTTAACTATTAACTAATGTTGTTGCTATTAAGTGCCGTCAAGACAGTTCTGGGGATACAAACAAGATGGCGGATCGGGTGGATGTATAGCAGAGAGCTCCGCCAACAACAACACAGAATACCCGACCAAGCA